TTTTTCAATAACCTCATATGGATGTGAAAGCTGGACAGTGAATAAGGAAGACCGTAGAAGAATTGATGCCTTTGAGTTGTGGTGTTGGAGGAGAATAATGAAAGTGCCATGGACTGCCAAAAGAACCAATAGATCTGTTTTGGAAGAAGTGCAGCCACAGTGCTCCTTGGAGGCCAAGATGGCTAAGCTTTGTCTCTCAGACTTCGGACATATTGTCCCAAGGGAACAGTTGCTGGAGAAGGATGTTATGCTGGGTAAGGTGGAGGGTCAGAGAAAAAGAGGAAGACCCCTAACAAGATGGATTGGCCGGGTGGCATCATTGATGGTGTCAAGTGTGGCAGCGGTAGTGAGGTTGGCCCAGGATCAGACATTGTTTCTTTCTGCAGTGCATGGGGTCGCTATGAGTTGATTCCAACTCGATGGCACCTGACAACAACAACAACAATGTGCTGGCTGGAGTCCTGGTGTGGCACTGTGGATTAATGCCCCAGACTGCAAAGCCATTTGAACTACAAAGCCTGTGGTTTAAGCTCACCAGCTTCTCCTCGGAAATCCTATACAGGGTCGCTTTGGGTCGGAATCGACTCCACGGCACTTAACAACAACAACAATGTAATAGCTAAGGAGCCCTGGTAGCGTAGTGGTTACGAGTTGGGCTGCTAACCTCACGTTCAGCAGTTCGAAACTACCAGCAGTTCCACGGGAGAAAGGTGAGACTTTCTGCTCCCTTAAAGATTTATACCTTGGAAGCCCTGTACAGGGTCGCTATGGATCAGAACTGACTTGACAGCACTTAACAATAATAATAAATGTGATGGCTAGAATTGCAGTTGCCTTCTCTGGGCCAGACCAAAAGGTTTCAAGGGGCTTATACAGCCCATGGACCTGATGTTCATAGTCAGGTGACTATGTGCCGGAACTGAGTCAATGGCACTTAACAACAACATCTATATACAATTCAGTCTTCTTCAAGAATTTTGAGGTCTTGAAATTACAGTAATTTTTACATAGAAAACAAAATAACACAAATATTTTTGGTTGATTTTTATTGGGGGAACTGATAATATACAGCTAGAGTTTATTTTCTTCTCTGTGAATGATTGCAAAACTATAGTACTTTTCATCTACAGACAAAAGAAAATACTTCCAGTCTTTTGGATACTAGCCCTACATTCAGACGTGCATGGAAAATGTTGTTCTATTAACTGTTGTGTAACAGATTGTGTTTTCCTCCTGAGTTCCCACCCACAACATGTTGTTGTTGTTAAGTGCTGAGGCATAGGTTCTGACTCATAGCAACCCTGTATAAGGCTTCCAAGGTGTGGCTGGTGGATTTCAACTGCCTACTTTGCAATTCAAACTGACTTTGTGGTCTAGTGCTTATCCTATAGCAACACACACCCCCAAAAAAACCTCTAAATTTTAGATCAATTGTGTAATCTCAGCCTAAACTCATCATTTGAACCAACGGCTTAATTATCATAGTCTCTCTTTTATAATGTCTCAGGCTTTCAGATCTTTACTCCTCTCTCTTCTCTTTCTCAAGTTGGCAGTAGGTATATGTCTCAGTTATCTATTGCTACTGTAACAGAATATGGTGGAGTGAATGACTTAATATGGTCCTTTGAGCTATGGTCTTTGTGACTCCCACCTAATGGCTGGCTAAAACCATGTAAATGTGAGGTGCTATGGTCCACCAATGAGACTGAAAAGTTTGCTAATAATGTAAAACTAAGGGTCATGCCACCCTTGTGAGAGTTGTTGTTATTGTTAAGTGCCATTGAGTTGGTTCCAACCCATAGTGACCCTGTATAGGGTTTCCAAGGAGCATTTGGTGAGCTTGAACCGCTGACCTTGCAGTTCAAATGGTTTTGCAGTCTGGCACATTAGCCCATAGTGTCACACCAGGATTCTGTTGTGATAGGAGGCCATGCAAATAAGGTTTGTGGAACCCTAACATGGGACTGGTCAGTTTTGCCTTCCCATTATGCTGAAATGAGCCATCCTAGAAGTGGAAAGGAGGACCTTCAGACAGGAGGCTTGATGGGGGAGTATGGTGCCTCTGGATACTCAGCAAAGCTAAATGAGCTTTATAACACCTGTCTAAGCTGAATGAGGCCAGGTGAGGGACTGACAGCTAGAAAGAGGTGTGCCTACAAGAGACTATTCTGATTGAAGAGTTATGTTCTGACCATTCCTGAACCTGAGTTGTAACCTGTTACTTCCTTAATAAGCCTCATAATTGTGAACATTGTCTGTGAGTTCTAGGTGATCAATGCCAGGAAGTATCAAATCCAGCATAGAAGTAGAAAGTGCAATGATAATTAGTGACAGAATTAGTCAAAAGATTGGCAGGTGGAAACATGTCTGACTTTCACCTCAGAGGAATCAGCCTTGGGCTGTTGATCTTGATCCTCTTTCCACTTTGTTAGTTATAAGAGGTCAGATGCCACCCCCATGTCTTTCTTACACAGAAATACCACAAGTGGGTGGCTATGACGAACAGAAATGTATTTTCCCACAGTTGGAAGGGTAACATCTGAATTCAAGGCGCCAGCTCAAAAGGAGGGCTTACTTTCTCTGTTGATTCTGGGGGAAGGCACTTACATCTTTTCAGCTGCTATTCCCTGCCACCTTGGTGAACTTCATGTGGCATGTCATCTGTCTTCCTCCATCTGCACTTCCTTGTTTGCTCAATCTGCTCTTTTTTATCTTAAAAAGATTGATTTAAGATGCATCCTACACTAATAGTATCTTATTAACATAACAAAGGAAACCTACTCACAAATCACAGGTATGTGATGTCAGGATTTTCTATGCGTATCTTTGGGGGACTTAATTCAATCCCTCACAGTATATGACATTGACATGCCCTTGGTGAAGTAAGTAAAGGGAGTTAAATATATGGCTTTTTTGTTTCTTATGCAACTCTCCAAATCAAGAACCTGCCATATCACTGAGTGTTCTCTTGGAATTTTCTCTCTCTCCATTTAATTAGGGCTCCAAAGGCCTCTCTGGAGTCCTGGTATGGCACTATAGGATTAAGCACTGGACCAAAAGGTTGATTTGAATCATAAGGTCTGCAGTGCAAACTCACCAGCCACTCTTTGGAGACCCTATACAGGGTTGCTATGAGTCAGAACAGACTCAATGGCACTTGACAACAACAACATAGCCCTCTCTGATTGGCTCTTGTTAGTGCTATGAATATCTGAGATTTGGCCCAGGTGGTGTGCTAGGTAGGCCTTGGCTATTTAACTGCTTTATTTCTAACAAGGAGAGCCCTGATGGTGCACTGGCTAAAATGCTTGACTCCTAACCAAAAAAGTCAGTGGTGTAAACCCCCCAGTTGTTCTGCAGTCTGGTTTTATGAAGATTTACAACCTTGGAAACCCTGTGGGCAGTTTAATCTACTCTAGAGGGTCATTATGAGTCAGAATTGATTGAACAGTAATGAATTTTTTGGTTTGCACTCAATAATCCCTGATTCAGACACCAGATTTTCTGTTTTTAAATCCAAGCTCCTATTACTATCTGTGATACTGAGCAAGTTCTATAATATTCCCATGCTTAGGTTGTCTCATCTATGAAATGTGGTAGAAGCAGTACCTACCTCTCAGTTGCTTTGAGGATTAATTAACATAGGTAAAACACCATGAGCAATTTCTGGCAGTATATGTATAAGCATTACACATTAAAGGATTTATTGCTATTGTTGTTCTTATGCTTAGTAAATGTTCAGGCAGAGAGTCAGATTACTTCCACACCTCCCAGAGACACATATGAGAATGTCTGTATTCTATTCAGATCACACACAAGGCACAGGAAGCTCAGAGATAAATGCAGACTCCCTGTCATTCTACTCAGGCTATGCCATGAAGCATTCTCATATGTGATCAGCTTCAAGTTAATGGGAGGCAATCTTCTCCAAGAATCCCAAACTGAATCCCAAGAAGAATGCTTCCCATAGTATTTTCCTTGGTTTATTTAATCTTCATCCCCTGGCCAAAACCAGAGAAAGAAGAAAAAGTTCTGTATTCCTCATCCCTATCTCTTCCACCTTTCACTCCCTTTCTCCTCCCACAACCTATCTGAAGCTGGTTGTTGTGTTGTTGTCAAGTGCCCTCGAATCAGTTCTGACTCATAGTGACCCTGTATAGGGTTTCCAAGGAGCAGCTGGTGAGTTTGAACCACCAACCTTGTGATTCAAACCTACCTTGCGTACCACTGCTTTATCTCACAGTGCCACACCAGGACTCCTCTGAAGCTGGTTGTTGTTTTTGTTAAGTGACATCAAGTTGGTTACAACCCATAATGACCCTGTATAGGAGAGGCTGGTGAGCTTGAACAGCCAACCTTGCAGTTCAATCCAATGTTGCAGTTCAGGGTACTAACCCATAGCACCACAGCAGGACTTCAGCTCTGAAACTGGTAGGAGGAGCTTATCCTTTGCATTTCTTTCGCTTTTACCGCCTATCTTTATTTCCTTGCATTACATCTTTCTCTTCCACACTCTAGCCACTTCACCTAGGCCACAATGATGGGCAGGGTGGAGGAAAGCTTACTAACAGAGACCTCAATCAGAAACATTTCAAAATATCATATTCATTACACTAGTTTGTAATGCTCAAAAGAGCAAGAACCATCTTCAAGATGATGGAGATACAAAACAAAAATAGACCTATATTTGGTTGGGGTCTGGAAATGAAGAAAATAGCAGGATTCTACTTCAGTACAATGAAGTGGCTTCCTGAAGAGAAAGCTCCCTGAACCTCCCTCAATATTTGGGGGAGGAGATGGCACTTTAGTTAGAATTAGATTACTAATTCCAGGTAATTATATACTAAGTTCTTGTGGGGAAACTGGCTATAGCTTGTATCTTTCAAAATCAGAATGAACAAAACAGGAAACAGCACCTTAATGAGAAAGAGCCTGGAGCCAGAATTCCTTTCAGACATTTTATGCAGAATTCCTGATCAGTAAGTATTTTTCTTGGAGTGATGGTCGGGGGAGGTGGAAATCAGTCAAAGGAAGAAGTGCTTGGCTCCTCTGCAATGCCTCCCATCATCTATCAAAGTAGGCCACACACACCTTGAGTTTCAAGGTCTCCTTATTCAATATTCTGCCAATACTGCAAAGCAAGACCTGCTGTTCTGATGAAAGAAAAGTGCTTAGGGACTTCCCCCGGCTCATCAACCAATTGTCATCAAGTGAGTTCTGACTCATGGTGACCCTGTGTGTGCCAGAATAGAGCTGTCCATAGAGTTTTCGATGGTTGATATTTTGGAAGTCGATCACCAAGATTTTCTCCCATGGATGTCTAAATGGACTCAAATCTCCAGGCTTCTGTTTAGCAGCTGAGCACTCAAATATAAAAACGGAGACTATTTTATATAGAAATACAGAATTTCCAAACTTAACCATTATAAGTCACCGTGAGAACTACATGTCCATAAAACACAGTGTCTCTTAATAAGCAGACATCACCGCTGCTAATGACTTCACTTGTAAACTGCACTGTCTCTTCTATTAACAATGAGTCATCAGTACATTATTTTGTATTTCAGAGGCTCCCTGTGTGTGTCCATGTACATGATGCAAAAGTTAAACAGGCTCAGTCAGAAAGGAAACTTTGGTAACTCTAATTGTGTTGCCCATTTCTGTCAGCAAGGTCATTCATTAGCCACGATTTCATGAAAGTGGCAGACGTAACTCATTAAAGCTATTGGTGTTTTTTAAATGGGAATGGTTCATAACAGTTTAACAGAAGAAAGGGGGGTGAGGAAGCCCTCGGGACATGCAGAAGTTTCTTCATTAAAAGAAAATTAACCCCAATTTTGTACACTGTGACTTAATAAGCAATGGTAATGCTTGCCCAAAATATACAAGATCAGAAAAGTACCATATGGCTTGATTATATGCAGTAATTAGAATAAAATTGGAAAGTAACGGAATCATAGAATTTTAGACCTGGATGAGTTACACCAGATCATTTCATCCAATTTATCCTGTTTCTTCCTCCCAACCATATCCAGTCTTCTTTCCCTACGCACATTTTACCAATGATGTAACTGAATCCCAGAAAACTTAATTCCCTTCTTTAGGTTACACATTTAAATGTTATAATGGAAAGAAAATTTTCATTTTAAAGCATGGGAAAATACAAATGGAATTCTAGTGGAAATGGCAGGCTAGAATGAAAATCTGTGTCTCATAAACTGAAGAGATTAATGTTCATCATATAAAAAGAACTCTCTAACAAAATAAAAATAAAATGTTAAGGAGAAAAATAGTGTCTATTTTAATTAATTAACATCAATACACAATTGCAAAAAAACATATGGGAGCCATGTCAGACTTCTGCTGGCTTCACAAGGTGGAAAGAAAATGAAATTCAAGATCAGCCCAAGACTGATTCCCATGAAGTGAAGGTCAGGCAAACCTCTACCCTACAACCTTCTTTATTCTGTTCTGAAACCATTCCTCCTACAGCACTCTACTTCACATCTGGATTCCATAATCCATTGCAATGGCCACACAGAACTCATAACAATACTTACTATCATGGGGTTTATTAGGGAAATGAACATGGTACAATCCAGGATCAGAAACAACTCAAGAAGCAGCAGTTCTCCAGTCAGGCATGCTTCTCAGTCATGTGACCCCTTGATTTCTGCCCTGCTTGCGCAAGTGTTACCAAGCTCCTTTAGTCAATGTTCAAAGGTCACACTCTGCAAGCCAGCCTCCTGCCTTTAGGCACACAGCTTTACTCAGTCCATGGGCATAGATAGCTACAGCTGCTCCGGGCTGCCAGCTCTACACCACCTCTACAGTTGTTGCTTTTCTAGGTAGGAGTCACATGCTTCATTCATGCTCTTCTTCTTTCAATCCCTGGGATTATCTGTCCCTTTTTCTGAGATGGCTGTTTTTAAACCAAGCTAGATGGGAAAACTAAGCAACACCTTAGAGACCTGTACAACACTTTATTTGCATGGTCCCACCCAATCACATGGTAAGAATTAAGAAGACATTGAATAGAAAAGCCATATCAAATAGACTCAATATACCACAACAATCAAAAAAAGAATCTATAGAAATTCTAGATAAATGTTCAATCATCATAGAAAGCAAAGAAATTCAAATTGAGACAACAAAATCCCATATTCACATATGCATTACTAAATATTATTTTAAATGTTAATATTTAATACTGCTGAGATTTAGAAAAAGGGGGCCTCATATTATGAAATTTGATAGTTATAAAATTAATACAACTGTTCAAGTCAGAAATTTAGTGATATGTCAAAAGTCTTGCACTACTAACTAAATTTCTAATGATTTATCATGAGGAATTAATAGGAGTTGTACATAAATGCTTATGTAAAAAGATGTTTATTGTAGTGTTATAGGATTAAAGAAATGAAGTCAGTTTAAGCATTCAATAGTAGAGACTGGGTAAATACTTTGTGTGTGTGTGTGTGTGTGTGTGTGTGTGTGTGTGTGTGTGAATTATGTGATAATTTACATGGGAGAACATTAGTTTTACATTCATTCTATCGTATATTGTTTCATTGCCATAGTTACAGTTCCCTCCATACATCATCAACCAACAAAGGGTATACACTACAAGCCTGTATGCACCCCGGTCATCAGCATACAGCCCCTCTACCTCTCTGGACCTAAAGTCCCCAGCTGTTCCATCTCTCCATGAAGCAGGCATCACTGCTTCTCTGGGTAGGGTCATGCTCTCCATTTTTCTCCATTGATGGTCCCAGGGGGTAAATACACTTTTGTACATTTTATTCAACTGAATACCCATCATTATTATGTTTATTCCACTCATAGTAATCCTACAATGATCCTACAGGACAGAGTCAGGGTTTCCAAGCTGGTAAACCTTTAAGGAATCAGATGATACATTTTTCTCCCAAAGACCAGCAGTAAGTTCAAACCACCAACCTTTCAGTGAGAAAATGAATGTTTAAACACAACACCACCAGGGATCCTTTTCCACCTCAGAGTGACCTTGTAAGACAGAGGAGAACAGTCCCTAAAGGTTTGCAAGGCTATGGTGGTTTTGAAGTGCCAACCTTTCAGTTATCAGCCAAGGGTTTTAATCATGAATCATATGTAATAATGTGTTTCATATCACAGAATATTTTAACATTATCTGGCTATAGAAGAAAATGCACATGTGATTTAATTCATGTATAGCTACAAAAATAACACATATGATAAATAGATATTAAAATCTAAAGCACTAGCATTGAAAGATTTTTTTGTTTCTTTCTTTATGATTTTCCATATATTCACATATTCACCAGCAATCATATATTGAAGGGGCTTCAAAAAGTTTGGGGAAGTAATGGAATTTAAAAATAATGGAATTTTTGAAAACTCCTTCATATTACCTGAAGACATACTCATGACAATTTAAATAACAATAAGACATCTAGTAAAATGAATGTGACCTTTAAATCAATGTGAAGGTGGGATTATAAATCTTTAGGATCCCTTCTGAGGATATTCTGTAGGTCAAATTTGAGCCCTCAGATAACCATACACTTCTATGAGAAAAAGACAAATCACATTCATATTCACACACACTCTTAGCAGGGAATTATTTTACTATAGCATTTAATTCGGGGGGTAGAAATAGGAGGAGATACAGCATTTCTACAAATTGTAGGCATCACTTTATAACTTCCAATTCTGAAACAGGGTCATTGGTTTAAATGCCTTGAGCACCTGATTAATTAGTAATCAGGACAGAGTTCGATGGCTTCCTCTGTTTCAGAGCTAGTAATTATCATTCCTGATGCAATATTCAACTTTTGGTAGGCAGCAGGCACACTGCTGTCACCATTATACTCTGCTCCACACTCCACATTTATTTTAAGGTTCTATTTGGAAAAAATAAAAAGAACCCTTGTGAAGATTTTACCTCTAACAGCCAATTCCTGGAGTCATTTTTTGAAATCATTGTCTCCCTGTATTCATAGATGATTTAAGTGATAATTTGATGAAAACAAAGAACTTCTGGAACATTAATATATAGCTCAGGGAGACATTAAATATTTTTAGAACTCATACCATACTTATAAAAATGGGGAGAGCTTTTTTTTTTTTTTTTTAAGATTATTGTGTTGTAAGGAGCCCTATTGGCAGGAGGGATTAAACAATGAAATGCTAACCAAAAGGTTGGTGGTTCCAAACTATCAGTTGTTCTTCAAAAGAAAGATGAGGCATTGGCTTCGGTAAAGATTTACAATCTCAGAAACCCTATAAGAAGTTCTGCTCTGAACTATAGGGATGCTATGTATTGGTTTTATTGTATTGTAAAAAGTATCTACAAAATAACATAGGACATTTTTAAATCTTGCTTTTTCCTTTTAAATTTTTAGCATTATATGTATAAATAAGCATGTGTGCAAGTCTTGCTAAAACCTTGGTTTAAATGTTGTTGTTGACTGCCATTGAATCAGAAATGATTCGTAGCAACCCCATGCACAACAGGACAAAACATTGTCCAGTCCTGCACCATCCTCACAATTGTTGTTATGTTTGAGTCCATTGTTGTGATCACTGTGTCAATCCATCTCATTGGGGTCTTCCTCTTCACTGGCCCTCTACTTTTCCAAGCATGATGTCTTTTGCAAGAGATTGGTCCCTGCTGACAACATTTCTAAAATATGAGACATAAGGTCTCATCACCCTAACTTCTAGGGAGCATTCTGATTATACTTCTTCCAAGACAAATTTGTTTGTTCTTCGGCAGTCCATACTACTTTCAATATTCTTTTCCAACTTCATAATTCAAAAGCATCTATTCTACTGTTGTCTTCTTTATTCACTGTCCAACTTTCACGTGCATGTGAGGCCATTGAAAATTCCATGGCATGGGTCAGGTGTATATAAGTCATCAAACTGACATTTTTGCTCTTGAACACATTTAAAGAGGTATTTTGTATCAGATTTGCCTAAATCAATACATCACCTGATTTCTTGACTGCTGCTTCCATGATAGTTGATTGTAAGTTCAAGCAAAACGAAGGCTTTGACAACTTTCATCTTTT